ACAATTCCTGCCCCCCTCCACGTCCCCTGACTGCAGGCTGGCCCGCCTGGCTCGGAGCAGGCCACTCATTGCTGCTGTTTGGCTGCTTTTATGCTGTCTGGAGAAACAACCCCTTTGTGCAAGGGCGATGATGTTCCGCTCCCGATTCCTGCCGGGCTGGGGAGGCCGGGGGGTGGCTGGTGAATGGTGGCACAGAGCTCCCAGCTGACCAGCAGCACCCTTGCACAGCAGAGAGGGGCCAGAGCTGCATTTCTGCTCCACGCAGCTCACAGGCAGCCTGGCAGGCCAGGTTTGTGTGCCGCTAACACCGAGAACTCTCCTCTCTGCTCTCTTCCAGGGCCCTCAGAAGAAACACTTGGTGAAAGGGAAGCCAGCAGCGCAGGAAGAGATGTAATGACTGAGATTTGCAAGGCTGGCTAAGGCCACCTTCAAGGTTGAAGATGATGGCTACCAGGCACCTTCAATAAAAGGGCTTCGAGCCATGCCTGCTGCCCGTCTTCCTTCTGGAGGGGTGTCTTGCCTGTGGGCAGCAGTGCGTCCTTGAGGCTCCTTGGCAGGTGAGGAGGGGACAAGCAGCACTGGGGGCTGGCCCGTATGGACAAGGACTCTGGATCTTCCCTTTCCCTTGCTCAGTGAATTTTTTTCCCACCGCCTGCAGTCACCCAAACCACGGTGAAGACGCCCCTTCCTCGGTTCCAGGGGAGAGCAGAGCCGGTAGCGGCACTCCTGCCCCAGTTTTGGCTGGGAATACAGGGCCTCCCCGTTGCTGGCTTCTGCCCAGTCTCAGTGAGCATCTCTCCCCTCACCGCCTCTCACCACGCGCACCCAGGCACTCCTTTTGCTGAGCTGACAGTATGACCCGTGGACTTCTCTCTGCACAAAGCCCCACGGTCCTGGCCAGCATCCTCAGCAGATGTGGGAACTTGTGTACAATAAGGTGGCTGCTAGGTAAGACTGAGCAGTGATGGATTTATTCAGATTTTGGACTTGTTTCCCACCCATCTTTTCCTTGCAGTCCAGCTGCCTGCAGGGAGGGCGTGATGTGTCTTGGAGCTGTGATGTCTTTTATCAGCGGTGATCACAACTCCTTCAGTGCAGAACCGGTCTGGGCATCCTGCACCCTCTTGGGGAACCAGACAGTGGAAAGCCCAGCCCTCCACTGATCCCGAGCTGCCCCCGTGACCAGGACTGCTGGGTGCCGGGTAGGAGGGGCATGAAGTTCCTGGGTCTTCAGCAAACCCCTTGCCCTGGGGTCTGGTTCTGCTCTGAACATGTGCTTGTGGTATTTGAGGAGGAGGCTCATCTGCAAAAGTGCTGAGGATGAGATGGACCGAGAAGCTCAGACCCCACAGCAGAGCCCTGGATGCAGCCAGTGGCCAGGCCCTGGCTGGCTCCATGTCCCAGCGAGGTCCCTGAGCTCTGGGCAGTGTCTCTGCCCTGCACGAGGGGCTGCGCTTCAGAGCCGCTTCTCTCCCTTGGCTGGCAGGTCCCTGGGCAGTGCCCCGGTGGGTGGCTGCGGATCCAGGCCAGAGCGCATGACGGGAATGATCAGATCGTCCATGTTTGGCATCACCAAAATTTTCTGAAAAGAGGAATCTAGAATAAGTACGTGGGTTTGAATGCCACTGCCTGGCTGGTGACACATCTGCCGGGAAGCGGCCTTGGCAGGAGCCCCAAGAGCTCAGATCAGAGACCGGGGCTGAAGCGGGAGCGGTATTTCTTGGCCCTGCTTACCTGTGTGTATGGCTTCAAGGGCGGTGGTGGCAGAGGGCAGGGACCAGCGCTTTGAAGCCAGTTTGGGGGGATCTGGGTGCCTAAACATCTGTGAGGACATTCCTCCTTTGTGACCAGAGGTCTCAAAGGCGAGAGGCTGAAAAACCAGCGGGTACCTCGTGATGGTAAATCTCCCAAACATCCCAAAACCAGAGCGGATAGGTGAATTCAGCCCTTCTGGGGGGGCTCTGCCTGTGACTTGCTAACGATCCTGATCCCCCCCCTGCCTGGGGCAGGGCTGC